TTCTCTAGACATACAATTTCAGCTGTTTTATGCATTGCTTTATGAAATCTCCTTCACTGTAAAATTTCCCACTCATGGCTATCATTTGGTTGAGTTCATAGCTTCCAGTAATGGAAATTACATTCTTTTTGTAAAAAAGCTCTGTTGCTATGTCAAGTTAGCTTTCAATTCCTTGAGTTTTGAAATGTACATTGGGTCTTCATATTTATCATAAGATAGATGGTTTGTTTCATAATGTCTTCAGGTTGTACTCTTGACATGGCGATGGAGTTGTTACAAATTAAACAATGCATCTTTTCATTCACCGTTGTGCAAAAATATTGTAATTCCCACTTTTCTTGAAACACTCACCCTTCTTTATTCAATTTCCCTTCTCTCTTAGCTGGAGGGGCACTAGCCAAGTTAGAGATGAAGTTGTAGGAAAAAGACTAATTTTCAAGATTGATGCAGAATTTGAAAAATTACCGATACATTTAAACTACAGCTAACAGTAAAGAAGAGATAAAGCAATTTTAATAACACCTTTAAACATTTTTGGCTGACATTTCACCTTTAAAAGCAAAAACTTGAAATTTTTAAAGTTTTTGTTTATAGCTGTTAATGAGCTGCTATATTGTTTTTGTGGTGTGATGGCTGATGGCATGGCAACTAGAGAAAATTTGTTCCTGAACTATTTTCTCAGCCACCAAGAATATTGGATATTTGCTACAATTTTTAAAGTTTGTCAATAATATTAAAATTATTTTAAATTTATGCAGTAAATGGTATTCTTATTTGTTATTCTATTAAAATAAATCAAATTTTAAAAAAAAACAAAAACATGTGATTTATTCTCTTAAATACTCTAATTTCTAAATTATAAAACCTGCAATTTGAGCATTAAATGACCAAATTAGTATCTTTTGTGCAGGCTGCAGTTGTGCTTGTAAAGGGCCACATGGGGCCCACATGTTTGACATGCTTGATCTAGAGTGCCTTTTTCATATATTAAGCACTCCAGGTTATGATATGCCACAAAAAGTTTTACTTTTTTTTTTTAAATTTTAATAATTCATGTAGTATGAACATATTTTGTTTTGTCTTGCTTGTTGTGAAAGAATTTTGTAAAATTTAAAATATTTCTGGTTGCACAAACTCCACAAACTATTGTTTATACCTTATTTATTCAGAGGTAAGAAATTTAAATACAGTAGTCTTCCCTCTATATCTGTGGGTAATATGTTTAAAATAGTGCCATATATATTTCTTTTCTTAGATACATATTCAAACAAGTTTAACTCATAAATTAGGCACAATAAGAGATTAATAGCAATAACTAATATAAAAAAAAAAGAACAATGATAACGTACTGGAATAAAATCATGTGATGGATAAAAAAAAAAAAAGAAAAAAAGACTTATTTTTACTAGAGATTTTATTAGGCACAAGATTAACTAAGATTAATAATAATTATTAATAAAATAGAATAATGATAACAAAAATGCCAAAGTAAAAGATTTATTTTTAATCATTTCACCCCAAGCAAGGCAGTAATGCCACTAAGACACAAGATGTTACTGAATAAGGAAGAAAAAGAGAAACATTGTTATAAAAGAAGAGGAATCAAGACTTAATTAGTTAACAACTGACATTGTATTAAAGTTTTTGAAGATCAAAGTTGGCAGGAAAGCATGAGAGTTCCCCAAGCAAGAGGTGCAAGAGAAACTGTTAGCATAGAACTTATAGTTGAATTAATGAGACCTTATTTACATTATTCAGACTATTGTCCTCATCTTTGTCGCCATATTTATCACAACGTTTCAGCCGTTGTACACTCCGGCCTTCTTCAGGTGGTTGGAATTTTGAACATGTAGAACAGTCTACCCCAGTGAGCAAAATAAAGGGTTCAGTTCGAAATTCCAACCACCTGAAGAAGGCCGGAGCGTACAATGGCCAAAACATTGTGATAAATATGGCGACAAAGATGAGGACAATAGTTCAAATAATGTAAATAATGTACATAATACCTCATCTCAGAAATATAGACAGACTCTAAAGAGACCTTGTCAATCTAGTCAGGTAAGTGCCATATATGATACTCGCTTGGGTGACCAGGTCTCTTTTGATTCATGACAGACTAGGTTGAAGATTTTCTTGCTAGGTTGCCATTTCTTTCTGCAATAGACTGGTTGAAAGAGCTAGAAAGAGTAGAGATGGATTCATAATTTTCCCAAGAGTACTTGTGTATAAGTGAATGCAATGAACTCAACTGGAATTCAAACTTAGCTCTTTAGTTTCTCCTTCCAAGTCATTTTCCGTACAGTGCCAAAATTTATAAATTCTAGGTACTATGGCACAAAGTTCATCAGAACAATTACCAAGAAAATATTTATAGAAAAGGCACAGGGCAGCCACATTACAGCAGAGGGTAGTGACTGAAAGCAAGATATTAAGTCAGGATCAATAACATTGTGTATTCTTCGTTGGATTTCTTTTCAGGAATTTCTAAATATACAGGAACACCAGACCATATGTGGCAGCAATATTCAAAGCAATGGATCAAATGAATGGATAATAGACTTATAAATATGTAAGATCAATTCTGGAGAGAAAAATTATCTAACACAACACAGTGAACCAACTTTCTTAGCAACTGATTCAATATAATCTTTCCACTTCATGTCAACAGAGAATGTTAACCAGAGAAAGCGCAACAAGTCACTCTCCTGGAGGTGAGCATCAGCCATATTGATGGAAGGCAGAAAGAAGTCTCTCAGATGATTAATAGAGAGAAGTTTCATCTTGAAGGCATTAAAATTAACAAGATGTGAGGAATAGAAGATTCTTACCATAGCAACCTCAGCATACAATTTTTTTTTTTTTTTTTTTTTTGCCTTCTTTTATAAAGTTGAAAACCTTCACCTTTTCACTTTAAAAGGAAACAATTTAAAAGCTTCTTTTTGTTATTGATAGCTTTAAGACCATTATCAAATAAAACTTATGAATTATTTATTTTGGGGTAACTGAAATGGTTGATAACAAATGAGGGTTTCACTGTACATATTACTATTTTAGCAAGCAGGGACTTTTCAAATTACACATTGAGAACAGACTGAATGGTTTCCATTTTCATTCCAATAAAAACCCTATTGATTTTTATGAGTAGTAACCATCTCATTTCATTACTTGTATGTCAAAAGCAAGATATCTCTATGCAGTGGTCAGTCTCAAGGAAATGATCAATAGTTTAGTTCTTATTTGGGTTTCCCAATATGATATTGCAGCAAATAAATCCGAAGTATTTATTGAATATCTATCCCAGGAGTCTAATGGCTGGCTACTCATTTCCAAGCCCATCTGCTAGCCAAATCCTTGTTGTAGACACCCACTCGGGCATATTTGTGTATGTTCAACACTCATATCTTCTTTATACTATAACTATGCTTAGTGAACCTTAGTTACAATTTCCAGGAGAGAGCGCATCATCTGGCATGACCAACAGTGAACAACACCAGTATGCTCAAACCCTCGGTCACGATGATTTGTGACTTCATGCTGGCACAGCTGCCAAACAGTTCTGTCTACACTCACAAGACTTGGGTTTACTCATAACATGGTTTTCAAGTACTTTCCAAAATGTGCATATTAGGATTGTCTTCACAAGCCAATAACTAAGTTGCTGACAAATCAACTGTGTTTCACGGTCAATAAGTTAATGTTCTTATGTGTCCCATGAGTATAGAGATGAACAAAGATGTCTGAAAGAATATGATGAAGGTTGTTCTAATTAGCTTAAGAATAACAGATATGGATATCATCTTTCATAAATTAGTTATGCAAATTTTTCATCATCAAGCAAGAAGAATGACTTAAAAAGCAATAGATTAATATGCTCAACAGACAACCTTATTTGATGCTTCGAGCCAAATGTAACAATGTTTAAATAGAAATTTCAAAGACATTCATAGTCTTTATTTATTAAAATATAACACTGATATATCCAAATGTGCGCTGAATTAACAAAAGATGCATTCCCAAAATTTGATTAGAAACAAAGAAAAGATTGCTGGATTGCTATGTGATATCCATCCTGTTATATAACAGTGAATGCTGAGCAATCTCACAGAAGAGACTTGAAGCAACAGAAATGTGGTTCTACAGAAGGATACTGAGAATTCCATGGATAGAGCAAGTAGGCAAGGAGGAAATCAAAGAAAATGGCAACAAAAGGAACACATACTCAGAATCAGGAAGAGATAGTTGAAATTTCTTGGACACAGATTGAGGAAGGAAGCTTAGAACAAAAATAGGACAAGAACAAGGTAGCTTTCTTCAAAACACTGGAATAAGAAATGCTATCTTTATAAAAAATTTTAAAATCCTTTTATCCTTATCTTTATGAGATTTAAAAAAAAAAATTAAATTTTAAAAAATTAAATATTAAAAATATGTAAAAAATGATTTTTTTTTTACTAAAAAAAAACAAAAAAAACAAAACAATTAAGATCTAAATTTTTAAATTTATTTTAAAGTAAAATATTTCATAGATTTTTTTATTTTATTTACTGTTATAAAAAAAATTTCAGATAGATGAAAATAAAAATATTCAAGATTTTTTTCAGAAAATTTTAATTAAACAAATTTTATTGTAAGAATTTCAAAATTCACATATTTTTTTCACATGTGATCTTGTCTAAATGTTCTTATTCAATAGTGACTATTTTAACAAAGAAAAAAGTCTAAGTATCATTTTCTTGATAATGAGAAAGTATGAATTCTTATGTATGGTGGCCCCACTATGTAATAATTATTTTTCCCTTGGACATTTGTAACTTTCAGTATAAATAAATATCTCATGATCAGAGCAATCCTATTGACAGCTATTTATAAATTTATATCTATTTAGAGGCCATATTGTAGAATGGGGAATATCTTCATCACCTCACACATACCAAAAATAAATAAATAAAATAAGATATATGAGGATACCTCATACCTATCTATCAACTAGAAATACTTACATTGACATTATGTGCATCAGTAAACTGTAATCCAAAATATTCTTTTTCAACCAAGTCCAGATAATAGACAACTTGTTCAAAAAGGTCATGTCCAGTTGCTTTTTTCTGTAAAAGAAAAAGAAATTTCACTCAGAATATTATGCAAAAAAAAGAAAAAAAAAGAAAAAAAAAAAAGGAAAGAAAGGAAAAAAAAAAGGAAAAGAAAAAAGGAGAAAAAAAAGCCAGGTCTAATTCCTCAAGACATATGCATGCATACTCTAATTTTCAACCCAGATATGTGAAGGGAACTGGTCAAGTGCTCATCTGTGCAATTGCCCTATGACCACACCCAGTCATGGGACTGGTAACAATAATTTAGTAAAAACATTAACTAGATGAAGACACTATTGCCACTGTCTTACCATTATGTGGAAGGTATTTCTGGTGCAAACTATATGTAATAATCAAAAATATACATAATACAATTGTAATGAACAATTCTTTAAAAAAATTTTAATACAGGGTCTTTATTAGTAAGATTTATTGGTTCTTATTACTAAAATAAATTATCACTTAAAACTTCCTTGTTGCTTAGATATTCTCTCTATGGCATTTGCAGAATTCTTCTGTAGAGCCACATCTGTTGCTTCCAGTCTTTTCATCTGGGAGGAAGTTGTCCAGCATTCACTGCCATATAAGAGGATTGATATTAGATAGCATATGAGCACTCTTTTCTTTGTTTCTACTGAAATTTTACTGTTGAATGATGTAAACTGGAATTGTTTGGCTAGCCCCATCTGGTGAATCCATTTTGTAAAGGATTAAAAATAATAATAAAAAAAAAAAAAAAAAAAATAAGCAAATATAAAACTTGACTTGCTTGAACTACTGTTTTCATCTTTGGTTGTCATACATGTTTTTAGACATAAGATTTCGACCAAGTAACTTCCTGCCATCTGCAGAAGTTCATTCTTTTTGGCTGATCAATATGAAATGGTCCTGCTTTAACTGTATATTAATGCTGTGGGTCACTGAAAACCGTACATTAGTAATGTAGGGTTTTCAAAAAAAATCACATTTATAATATTATAAATATAGTATTTAGATCTTAATTTTCTTGCTTTATATGGAGTGTTCTTTCTGGTTTTAATAGGATAAATAAAATAAGTTTTATTTTGAAAAATTTAATTAAAATCACTAATACTAAAAAAATGAATTGGTAAGTTTCAAAAGTTCCAATACACAAAAATAGGTTTAATTTTATTTTCAGTCCACAACTAAAACTGCTTGTCATTCAAACAAATATAACTAAAATCAGAAACTCCCTTAAGTTATTTGAGAGAAGTATTCAGAAAGTTACTTGGCTAATCATGAAAATTTAACTTGCCACTTGCTAAATATTACAGAAAAGCATGGGTGTTACATTCTAAGTGGTTTCTTCTATTTAGGGTCCTGTTTGAACTATTGGCAGTTGAGGGTATCTTAGTGTTAGCTTAAGATAATTTATTTTTAGAAAGTAGATTTATCACAGATAAATTAATGAAAAGATAATATATCTTACAGACATTCACTTCCTGCAAAGACCAGTTCCACTAGATACACTGTTTAGAATCTTGTAAATGTTAAAATATACCTGATAGAGGTATAAATAACAAACAAGCAGAGCATACCATAAGTTGAACAACTTTTTTTTTTTTAAGTTATACTGATTAGTTAGTCAGTAGTTATAGATAAGAAGTTTGCCTAAATTCTCCCTTGCGCTTTTGTAACCATTATTACAGGCAACATGGGAGAAATTATATATATATATATATATATATGAACAAAAGGAAAACTAAGTTTTCATAGTCTTTTATTGATATATTTTTTAGTTATATCTGCATTTTTATACACTCACATCCTGAAGAGTAGATGGACAGATCCTATGAAACTTTGGAGTCAGAATGTTGAAGGCAACATCAATCAGCTAAGAGACAAGCTTTTATTCATAGTAATTATATATATATATATATATATATATATAATAATGTCACACATCATGAAATGGACAAAGTCCAACAATTATTTTAAGACATTTTTATGTTTATATAATACATTCTTTTTATAGATACAAATATTTAAAATAATTGTCGGACTTTGTCCATTTCATAATGTGTGACGTCATTTGTGTACATTTGATACGTCATGAGCAAATCTGAAAGTACGTGAGAGATTCATGGAAGATTGAAGTTTAAATACAGTAAATTCAACCTTGCTAACCAAACGCTCCTCTGTGGCCAAATCGGTAAAGGCACGTCAAGCTAAATGATGCTTCCATATAGGATACAGGTTCGAATCCTATCGGAGGATGAATATTTTCTGTGAAAATTTCTCGAACATTCAGGCCGGTAAATGTTGTTTAATACTGTTTATTATAAACAGAACATTTACTTAAATATTTTTTATCTATAAAAAGAATGTATAAACATAAAAATGTTTTAAAATATATGTGTGTGTGTGTGTTTTTAAATTTCCTATATTTACAAAGGAAAATGTATTTAAATACAAGTAGTGTGAACACTGAAGTCACTATCAAATGCTGATTTCTGTACCCAAACTGTTTCTCTTTCTCATCATCATATATATATATATATATATATATATATATATATATATATATATATATACACACACACAGTGTAACCCGGATATAAGAGAGTTGTCGGGACCGGAGAAGAAGTCTCTTATATCCGGGTTTGGTCTATTTTATATACATTAATACAGGCTCTAATTTGGGACCAGAAAAAATCTCTTATATCCGGGTTACACTATATATAAAAAGACAAAAAGAAAGGAAAACGTATCTTAGTCAAATCATTTCCTCCATCCTAATGATGGTCTTTATCAAGGCAAATGTCTATCAGAGTAGCAAACATTTTGGCTAAGTTTTCTTTTTGTCTTTATTCATATTGCCCCCTTTTAGAGATATATTTTTAGTTATATCTGAAATTTTACACATGCACATACGCGTATATATGTATGTGTGCCCCTCCCCCATTAAATATGACAATCACACAATATTAATCAAGAGGTTATGTTCAGGTGTTATTATTTATTTTCATTATTGTCCTAGGAACAACAGCCTTGTGGATTAAAGTGTTGATTCATGAATTTGGTGACACAGTAATTATGAATTGACACCCTGGGCCAGGCACAGCAGTGTGTACTTTCAATCAGTGGAAATGGAGCAAGCAATGACAGAGCAGTACTAAATAAAAACCCAGGAGACGAGATATCCTGAGAGAAGGTCAGTGGAACAAGAATAATCTTCCTTTCTGGATTAATTAAAGGGGTCAGTTTAAAATTCCCCAACTGTTACCAGGATCAACAAGCACCTGATGAAAGCCAGAAAGCACAGTGGCTAAAACATTTCAACATTAGTTCAAATACAAATAATGTAAATAACTAATCAAGACTTTTTTTTTTTTTTTCACCCAGCCATTGACTCACATTGTTTACCAGAAGTCTTGGTACTGACCTGGCAACTCAGCTTTAGTTACTTTCCCACCTCTGTAATGTAACTTCCTTGTACTTTTTCTATAAATACTTATATGATAATTGCTTTGATGAACTTTCCTTTATGGTACCTTGACTACTAGATTGGCAGCAAGGTCTCATCTTACAGTTGAAATAGATGTAACTAAGTTCTATACTACCAGTTTCTTCTCTAGTACTTCCTGCTTGTCGAACTCTTCTGCCTTCTTGCTTCCCAGTCAACTTCAAAAATTTAAATGCAATGTCAATCATTACCTTCCATCTTATTTCTTGTTCTTTTTATCTCTCTCTTTATATATCTCTCTCTCTCTCTCTATATATATATATATATATATATATATATATATATATCTTTATATCTCTCTCTATATATATATATCTCTCTTTATATCTCTCTCTCTCTTTATATATATCTCTTCCTCTCTTTATGTCTCTCTCTTTAATAGTGTATTTTTTTCCTTATATTCTCTCAAAATCAGTAACCCTTAAGGTAGAGGCTTTATTGCCTAGCTTGTGATGAAATGATTTAAAAAAAAAAAAAAAATAAATAAATAAATAAATAAAAACAATAAATAAATAAAATACATGCATAAGTTGCATTTGCAGTAGCAACTAGTAATTGATCTGATACATTTACAGAACATTGTCATTTGGATCAATAACACTGTTAGTCATCATTGAATTAGTTGCCATGCTCAGCTTGTGGATCACAAATAAAATATATATATATATATATATATATATATATATATATATTAGAATTAATGGTTTTATTTTTTATCAGATGTTATTTTTAGTAGATACCAATATTTGAGTAGACGTTATGCATATTTTTTTTAAACTGTATTTATTTCATCTACTGGCCTGCATACATAAGAAAACTTATAAATAAACTTTACAATTTGCTTTGTCTATGTTTCAGATAGAAAACTGAGCAGATATGTGTTTTGAGAAAAATCTGAATGTGTGAAATAGAATAAATTGTTGCTTTATTGTGTATCTCTTCATATGTAAAGTAGGATGCAGGTTCAAAATCTAGCAGTACCTTTCCCTTGAGTACACAGACCAATAGAAGAAATATTGTTTAAAAAAATAAATGGTATATCTACTAAAATACAAGTATCCAGTAAAAATAACATCTTTAGTAATTGTATACAGTGCTGTTCGATAAGTGACTCACCTGATTTTTTTTTACTTAATTTTTTCGCCTATTGTTTTTGGGATCAAACTAATTTTTAATCTTACTAATATAAAGACCCCTTCCTGACCACCTAGTAAAAAGTTTACTCACCCTAAGGTATTCTATTGATAATTATAATTTTGGATATGAGATTTAGGGAAAAACTCTGTAAAAAAGTGACTCACTTATTTCCTGCAACTAGTAATCAATAGAAACATAACCAAACAGCTTCAAATAAAGAATAATAGAAGTATAATTTATTTATAATAGGTAATATAGTTTGAAATATTTAATAATCTATGGGTCCTTTATTTTGAATAACCTTTTCAACCCTTTTTGGCATTGACTTGATTAGGTTCTGGCAAATCTCATCTCCAAGCATTGAATTCCATTCAGATATGAAATTCACAATCAAATTCTCTTTGTTGCTCAACTGCTTTCTCGAAAGCCTGTACTTTATAATGCTCCATACGTTTTCTATGGGGTTGAGGTCAGGAGATTGGGGCAGCCATGTCATAACACTCACCTGCTTCTCATCAAAGTATTCCTTCATCAAATTTTGATTTGTGACAGGGAGCATTATCCTGCATAAAAAATGAGCTTGGTGGGTCAATTTGCACCCTTTCAGCAGAAGGGAGCAGATAAGACTAAAACTCTCTTGTACTGCTCGCTCCTGAGGGTCTTTTCAATAGATTTTAAGAAACCAGTTCCATGAAAAGAAAAGCATCCCCAGAACATTATGCTGAACGGATGCTTGACAGTACTTACTGCTAAATTCAAAGAGCTTTCAAAGCTTCTTTTTTGGATTTTAGATCGCTTATCCTTTGAATTTAGCTCAACTTTCTTTTCATCGGAGAAGAGAACATTTAGTAAAAAAAATTAGGTGAGTCACTTTTATCGAACAGCACTGTGTATATATATATATATATATATATATATGATTGAAAATGTGTGAAAAATGCTGCTAGTATTTAAGAATTATTCACAATATCAATTTTAAATATTTTCATAAAAGATAATTCTCTCATATAGGCAAGAAGCTTACTAAGTAACATTGCTATAAGTGTCCGCTCCACAAACCAAAATGACCTCTGACTTTATAATTATCACTTGGTCTACATATAAACACAAATAATTGCAGTAATTAAATCCTAATTTGTTGCTCTTTATTCCTAATAGAGTCACATCATCTTTTCCTACAGCTGGAATTCTTAAGAGGCAATTGGGACAAACTTGTTTTCTTTCACTAATTTAAAACAAACTTCTTGAAATGAAACCAGAGAAAAACCAGAGAAAAATAAATAAATCAGTGAGATAAAATGTTTGACATGAATAAGAAAATGCTTTGAGAGAGATTGGACATGTTTCTGTGACATCAAATACATTGTTTGGGTTCTAAGCTTCTAAAAGGATATGATATAATGCCTCGAGTATTTCTTTAGGGCATGTATAATTATTTTACCTTGTCAATGAAAGCCCTTTTCTTCAGAAAAAAAATAAGGAGAACATAATTGGTATAATTGCAGAAAATATAAAGAAACAAATTCCTTCAAGATCATGGCATATTCAAATTGCAGTGAATTTTTTTTTTTAAGTTTTCTCTTGTATTTCTAATTTTTCCTTGAATTCATCGTTTTGTTTTTTTTTTTTGTGCGTCTTTCATTAATTTTTCTTTTTCTCATTTCTTAAATTTTTTAAGGCTAGTTTGGTTTGTCTGTAGATTTAAATTAGCATTATTTTGTCTCATATTTACCCAGCTGGTTTGGTCAGTCTTCCTGGATTTAACTGGACAGCTCAGTTTGTCCAGCCACATCGACTGGTCCTCCCAGATCTACTCAGTACTGTAATATAGTTTATATGTGTGGGCAACTAATATTCATTGGTACTCAACCTATTGAGTTAGTCTGCAAATAGGCTTCATAGATTTGTACTTGTGTTCAATTATTATGACCAGTCTTG